ATTTCCATAGTGGTTGTACATACCTATAGGTCCACCAGCAGTGGATGAGAGTTCCTATCTCACCACAGCCCCTCTAACACTTGTTGCTTTCTGACTTTTTGAATTGGGCTATTTTTAAGAGTGTTAGGTAGTATCTCATTGTTGTTTAAATTTGCATTTCACTTATGGCTAATGATCGGGAACATTTTCTCATCAGACAGTGTTTCTTAAGGACATGTCAGGCCTTGTTTAAAATGCTGAGGCTACAAAAATGAGTAAAAGAAGGCTTTGTTTCTACCTTCACAGGGGTTAGTATCAGGCAAACAGGTATTCACTGAATATGCAGGCAAGTCCTTGAGAAAGAAAAGTCAACCACGATACAGATTTGAAAGAGAAGCTTGCTGATGGGCCCATGAGAGTCGACAAAGGTGGCTGCATGCAATGGACATTGAACAAGGTGGAGCTGAAGCTAGTGCTCTGTCTATAGAGACATAAACTGGCACAGGACAGCATCAGTCCAGGGAAGTGCAGCAGTGCCAAGGACAACTAGTTAGGAAATAAGCAAGCCTGAACTGAGATTGAAACCATAAATTAGAATTAACCAGGCAAATAGGTTAGAAGCTGTGTGCAAATATCCGTTAGAAAGTGGTGCAGCATGGGTGAGAATGGAGGAAGGCAGTGTGCACAGTAGTTGAGCAAGCAAGGGAAGGCAGGAGTGGTCTGACGGACCATGCAGGCCGGCAGACCCGAGAGTAATCTGTATTCTGCAAGCAATGGAGAATTACTAGTGGATTTTTCAGTTTTAAATGATGGCTTTCGCTTGAGTAAGACTTTGCTATTTGTCCTGAGGATAATTGGAAATGCTTAGAGAAGTTTGTGCATGGGGTGCCATGATTAAACTAATATTTTGTAAAAAGGACTTTGGCTGTGATATGAAAATGGATTAAAGGTAGCCATACATATTAGTGACTTCATTGTAAAGGTATTATAAGGTTGTCAAGTAGTGATAAGTGCATAGTTATGGGGTCATGTAATAGTTTTTACATCTTAGCAGGATAATGGGTAGAATAAAGAGAGCTGACATTTATTTCAGGAGGAAGAAATCTAATTGGATGATGGCTGGAAATCAGGGGTACAGGGAGACACTTGCTGAACAAGACAGCCCTGGAAGAGAGCCGGGTTTGGAGGGGGGCAGGGAAGGAAGAGTATAAGTTTGCTTTTGGAGATGCTCAGTTTGGAGATGCTGAGAAGTCTAGGTGTTTTTCTGGAAGTATTTAAATGTCCAGGCTAAGCTCACAGCAGATACGTAGAATAAAATAAGTGTTTGGTCACTTTCATATTGGGTAGAACTGAAGTTCTAGGTGTGACCAGGATGCCTAAAGAGTAAATACAAGAAATGTAGTCTGAGTTTTGCCTATAAGGCTTTGGATAGATATAGAATAGGATAGGATTTGAGAGAGATGAATGATTGCAGAAGGCTGACTTTTCTTTTAAGACAAGAAATCTGCTCGTTTGAATGCCAATGGGACAGATTTATGCTCAAATCTTATATGAAAGTAATATGGAGTTTAATGAAAATATATGTAATTGGGTCAGCCCCAATCCCCACTACTATGTGGACACCTGCCCCTCCCCTCAGAAAATTTTTTTTCAAAGGACAGCATTGAATCTGTAGCTCCAGGAGAGGGACATACCTTATCAGAGCACACGGGAGCAAATGAAGGGGGAGGAGGAGAGAGTTGAGCACATCCTCGCCTACCAGGCTATGAGGACAATGTTCCTGATTAGAGCAGCCAGTCCACAGAGAGGACCACATGGCCGGCGCCACTATGAGACATGACATCCCTCACTGACCCATAGAGCTAACGGGACAACACTGGAGACACTGTGGGAATTGCGCCCGATCTGATCCCGCCACACGAAGGCAAAACACTAAGGCGGTGCAACAGAACAGCAAGGGAACAGAGCGGTGAAGTTCTCAGGGAAGGCTGAAGGTGGACTTTGG